AAATCATTCTATCATTTTTGTGATTGTATCCCAGTACAGCTTTTCCCACTCGTTTGTTGACTATGAGGGCTACTCCATTCCTTCTACGGGATTCTTGCCCATAATAGTACTTATGCCAATCATCTGAATTGAATTCGCCCATTCCTGTCCATTTTAGTTCACTGACCCCCAGGATGTCAATGTTTATTCTTGCCATCTCCTGTTTGACCACATCCAGCTTACCAAGGTTCATAGATTTTTCATTCCAGGTTCCTATGCAGTATTTTTCTTTGCAGCATCGGACTTTCCTTTCATTTCCAGGTGTGTCTTCAGCTGAGCATCCTTTTGGCTTTGGCCCAACCACTTCATTAGCTCTGGAGCTACTTGTCCTTGTCTTCCGCTCTTCCTCAGTAGCATGTTGGACACCTTCTGACCTGAGGGGCTCATCTTCCAGCGTCATATCTTTTAGCCTTTTGTTTCTGTTCATGGGGTTTTCTTGGCAAATATACTGGAGTGGCTTGCCAGTTCCTGCTCCAGGTGGGTCGCGTTTAGTCAGAACTCTCCACTATGACCTGTCCGTTTTGGGTGTCCCTGAATGGCATAGCCCAGAGCTTCTCTGAATTACTCAACCCTCTTCACCATGACAAGGCAGCAATCCATGAAGGAGAAAGCTGCAAATACTTATGTTTTTTTCCTCAGAATCAGGAAAAGCCCTGAGGATGTGCAGCTTTATATGCAGAGTCTTATATACTGAACTGGTTCAGAGTTCTGAATCATGAAGCCCTAGTGGTAAGCCACTGTCAGAGACAGAGCTCCAGTGTGTAGTCACACAAATTCATAATGGCTGTGAGCATTCCTTTCTTCCTCGTGTTCATTAAGGAGGGTTTTTCCTGTTCTCTGCTCCACTCCCTTTTAAATCCTATTTTACTCTTTTAAATCTTTTTATTTTTAAATTTCATTTCTACAAAGAAGTTTTTATTCATTCTTTTACCTTTTTTCTGCTTCTTCATACCTGCGAGGCTTGAAAATATTGTTGCTTAATTGGCTGTGCAACTGAATACTGCTTTTTGGATTGCCTTGCCTCTGTGGGTGCATGGTGTTTTGGTGCTCCCGAAAAAACAAACAAGGAATTGAATTGTTTCCAGTGATCTGTTGGGGATCGAATTACACACTTCACTCACCTGCTTCAACCTGAAAAGTCCCCAGGAGAGCTCAAGGCAAAAGAAAGGAGAGGAGATAGAACTGCTGTGAGACTGCGAGATTATCAAGAAACATCCAGGTTTGCCTGAAACATTCTGTGCTGTATTATTACTCACGTTTGGAGGGGAAAAGCGCAAGTGGGGAGAGGAAAAGAGAAGAGAAGCCCTATATAGGCAGTGAGAATCGTTTTAACCAGAAAGGGATATAAATTCCTCAGTCTATTTCTGACAACTGCCAGTTCCCCTTTAAAACAGTGGTGGCAAACAAAAATCACTCATGGTTGTTGTGGGGTTTTTGGGCTCTTTGGCCATGTTCTGAAGGTTGTTCCTCCTAACGTTTCGCCAGTCTCTGTGGCCGGCATCTTCAGAGGACAGTACTCTGTGCTCTGGTGTAGTTGGCTTGGGAGTGCAGTATTTATGGCTGTGAGATAGGCTTTTGTCTTTTTCTGTAGATGGGTGATTAGTGTGTCTTGTTGTGGGTGTGTTGTTGTGCTAAGGAGAAGAAATTATCTGTCACTGTGGTTGATGGGTGTCATTAGCCTATCTCATAAAATATAAAAATATAAAAAATTCCAAACCAGTTCCATAGAAAAAGATGCAGTTAAAGAAACTTTTTAAATTACTGGATAGAAAATTACAATGCAGAAAAGTACAATGCAAACCGAGAAGTTAATGATAAATAAAAAAGTAGATCCAGAGGAACTTGCTCATTTCTCTATTAATGCAGAGAAGTCTCTCCCTCACTCTCTAGAACCAACACCAGCTCAAGCATAGAAACAAGTTACCAAGAATCCGCAGTGTCTGGCTCTACAGAATTCTAGACCATCACAAGATGGGATCAAAACAGATCTCGGATGGAAACTAGTCTTGAACAGACAAAAGTTAGCACTGTTAAATTTCCCCAAGCCAAGGGGATTCATATCACAATATAATCTTCACATTCACAAAAAGAAACTCAGTCAAACAGGTGTATGAATAGAAGGACATATTGACTGAAATGGGTATATCTGTGGTAAGAGACTTTGAGAATCATGCACCACCTTCCTTCAGTCACGAGGCTTAGCTCCCTACAGTCCAGAGACTTCGCTTCCTCCAATCATGAGCCTTATGGAACTGACATCAGCTGATCCTGAACAAACCAGTTGGAACACACCTCCTTGGAGGTGGAGACTGTAGGCTCAAGGTTCAACAGAGACTCAAAATGTCTGACATTCTGAGCCCAGAGGCTGAATTCTCAAAGTTAAGTTTTCTTAATTTGGGGGCTAGAAAAGTGGGTGTGGGTGTCTTATAAAGAGAGGTGTGTTATAAACGGAAAAATATGGTACTCCCAGTAAGACCATCTCAGAGGACACCCTTAGTGACAAAACCCCTATTCTAAAACCAGTACCCAATGTCCCTGGCTTTGGAGCACGGACAAAAGAGCAAGAAAAAAGGAGAAATAGACTTTTAAAAAAGAAATCAAGAGTTTCAGAGGGAAGAGATATGTACCAAGCAACATCGGGTCATAGTAGAATTGAACCCCTTGTTCAAAAAGCCCGCTCTAAAAGGAGTTTCTAGTGATTTGAACCCCATTTCAAAACCAAAAATCATGTCTCTACCTACCTGGACCCAAATGAGACAACTGGATGAGGAGGAAATTGGTTCCCCTGAGAAAGTCATCAAGAATGCAATTGGTGTATCCAACTATGCCATTCGCATGAAGTCAATGTATACAGGTGGAGTCCATCAATGGAGACGATTGAACCTGCAGAGTTAGATATCACCCCCATTAAGATATCCAGGAAGGAAAATCAGGCCCCAGAAAGAAGCAAAATTCCCCCCAGCAAAAAGATAGTAGCGGACTACACTGATACAGTGGCTCAAGGGGACGACTTTCAAGTTCACCAGTATGTCCACACAATGTGGACAAACCAAGCAATCATACAAGAATGGGATATACCCTTCTGTTCCATAACTGGAAAAAATATGCATTCCTCTTATAAACTCAATTCTGACTGAATTTCAAATCATCAACAAGACCTCTTGCTGACATTTCTCTCTTGGAACATCGCTGGCTGGCGAAGGAAAGTTATAGACCCCTCCTTCCAAAGTTTTATTGGAAAACATGATATTGCAAGGCTGTGTCTTAGCTCCAATTTTCTTCAACTTATATGTGGATGATATTGTTGAGCATTTGTCATTTCCAGCATTTTAATTGTTTTATGATATTCCTATTGTAAGCCACCCAGAGTAGACGTGGTCTAAATGGGCGGGATATAAATTCAGTCTTAACCAAAAGTTAAATATCCTGAGCCAGGCCGCTTTCCAACCTCAAAGAGGCATTTAGCACACAGTTGGGTACAGCAAATATTTGTCTAAGAAACTTAAATTGAATGATTTCTATTGATTTTAAGCTTGTATTAGCCAAACTGGGCTCCCATACAGCATCTGCGCTAATGGCTTAGCTCTGTAGACTTCCAACACTGCTGATATAAAAATTACGGCCACTGGTGTAGATAAACTGTCTCAGAATTTTTATAGTGTGTGAAGCTTTTTCTATAACATATCCTTATTCAGTTGTCCACGCTCCTGATGTCTGAAAAATTACACCTAGATATTTAAAGGCTTTAAGCTGTTTGATTGGTTGTCCATCCAAGGACCATCTAAAGCGTATGGCGAATACCATTACTTTGATATCTTAATATAATTCACCTCTAAGTGTTCCTTCTGGCAATAGTCTGAGAACGCCCTTAGTCGTCTTCTCACACAAACTTTAGATTGGGATAGCAATCATCTGCGTATAGTAGGACTGAGATAGATTTAGTTGCTAATTTGGAGGCATGGAGGAGGAAGAGGAGGTTGAAGGTGCAGCCTCCACTGCAGTCCAGGAAGGAGGCTGGCAGCTACTGGGCTGGATCAGCCACCAGCGCCAGGGCCTTCTTCCATGCTGCTCGGTGGGATGCTCCCCTGCAGCCTTCTGGGCTTGTGGCAGCTGAGGCGGTGGGGCTCTTACAGAATGACAGCTGCTTTTCAGTATGAAGTTTTGTGGATTACACACCACTAACTCAGACATAAGGAGTGATTTCTGTCCATGTGATTTCACTAACTAGAAAAGTGTTTTACTTCAATATTTTACTTGCAAGTAGATGAGGGGGAGGTAACAACATGAAACACTAACTATCAAAAGCTTCCGAAACTCCTAAGAAAGTTCCAAAGTACAAATCATGTCACAAATACTTCACATTTGATTACAAGACCACAAGAAAAAATGAATACGGCAGTATTGCAGAACCCTTCTTTAAATTGCTTTTATATTTTTACTTGTGTTATGTCCATTTCTTTTTCAGAAGCCTGGTATATCTCTTGCATTTTGTTACCCATGTTTCATGTAAATACTGGGATTCCTTCAATTTTATTAATATATTCAGCCCCATATAAATATTCATAGCACTCACCACAAGATATTAAATGTAACCCTTAGGTAGAACGCTAACCTCTGTCCTGTAGGGGGAAAAAGCAATACAACACAATTTGAAAATGACCTCCAGTTTTCACAGACTTCTTTCAACTTTGTTATTAAAATGTATGACTTATCATACCCTACATAATAAATACCTAATTAGAACTGCTCTATTATTGATGTGTTATGGATCTGAAAGATATATTTTATGTGGCCTATTTTATGTGGCCTACTTATATATTTATTCTTATTTCATATATACAGTATATGAAAAAACCACCAATTTTATTTAAAGGGTTCATGCTGTATTTTCTTACAGTAAAAGAACCAAATTTAGTTTTCCAGCCCTCTTACAAAAAGGTTGTAGAACTTTTAAAAATGTATAAGAAACTGGAGAAATCTACCCCCCCCGCCCCCAAAGCCAGCCATTGATAACATTATGGTCACCATCCGTATCAACAATAAATCTTAGCAATATATTTTGGATGAGATAGGTACAAGGTCTTTATCCCTCCATGTCAGTTCTTTGCAAAACTAAAGATAATGCTTTGTATTCTTTTTCATTAGGAACAGCTGCACAGAGATGCTAGCACTTACATTTTCTGTGCCAACCCTTTTTTGTTAGCTTGTCACTTGCCACTTCCAAATCCTCTCTCGGCTTAGCTCCAGCAGACATGCAGAAGCTAGTGGTAGGTGGTATGAATTTTCCAGGTAACAATATATTGTCATGACCTTACCCTGCTAAGAAGCAAATTATCTTGAGACAGCTTTGCCTTGAATGGTCAATTAAGATCTGTTAGTGTTACAAAATAGTTTTTTGAGGTGAAGATAAAAACTGCTAGAACAGCTTTCTTGACAATAATCAGCACCACTGCATTTGTTCACTTTCCTTTGGGTGTGGTTGTGGCTGTAGAGATTGTCATAATGAGCACTGCATCACTGAGTAGAGTGCATGGCTTGAAACATAATAGTAGTCAAGCAGTTGGGAAACATCTCTCTATTCTTGAAGATGGTGAAATTTCATTCTGAGTGGTTTCATATCACCTAACATCTTACTAAAGAAATGCAGGTGATCCTATATATTAGCCTGGGGACAGGAGAGCAGAAACTCTATCTGGAAAGCCAGCTAAGATAATTTGTTTGTTTGTTTGTTTGTTTGTTTGTTTGTTTCTGGTTTGGCAGTAAGTGGCCTAATCTGAATAAACTGAAAGTGTGGGTTTCAGTGTGAAAAAAGAAGAAGCTAATCATAAATCTACTTGGTATCCCTGACTAGAGCACACCCATTGAAGCATGTGCTAATTTATGACTCACTAATTAATCTAGTCTCATTGGGATTACTAATTGGATTTTAGTCAAAACATCCAAACAATTTCAACTTGTTTTAAAAGACTGGGATTTGGTTTACTGTACTGTGGGTAATTAGTTTTATATAATGATTAATAAATTGTTTGAGAAAGTTAGGAAATATCGGAACAAGTAGTCAAATCTAAGACTCCTATGAATAGAAAGAATGTCTATATCAGGAGTGGGTCATATGGACCCTGCAGACCACATGTCCATGAGACTCCAAATGCAGACCTCTAGAGCCTCTGAAGCCCCCACCTACCCACATCCCTACAAAATTTTGGTTTCCTCCTGCTTGAGTTTTGATTGACTCTAGATGAAGTTAAAGGGAAGGAATGGTATAATTTAATTGTAGTAGTAGTAGTAGTAGCAGCAGCAGCAGCAGCATCTTGCCATCAAGTCAATTATGACTTCTGGTGACCCTTTCCAAAGTTTTCTCGGTAGTGAGTACTTAAAATTAGTTTACGATTTTCTTCCTCTGGGAGCACTCAAGACTGCACTGGTTGGCTTTTCTTCCAGGAGGCACTGTGGGGAATTATACTCCCAGCCTCTAGCTCTACAGCCAGATACCTAACTCACTGAGCTACTGAGTCAGTTAACATAAGAATAGCTTTAAGTAAATTAGCATCTATTGGGAGAAAGACAGACTGGAATATTATTACATTTATTTCATGTATAAGGGATATATAACATGGTAATCATTCAAGAAAAAAGCCCCAGTCATTTTCTGTTGAGGGTGGTTTGTTATAATGAGGGATTTGGCAGGAATACTGCAGCAAGAGCCAGAGTACTTTACATCAGGGTTGGCTGTGTGAGTATGACGGGTCAATGGCTCTCCTTTTCAAAAACCTGCAGGTTAAGCATATTGTTCATAAATTTAGGATAGGATACAGCCATTAGGGACACTCGCTCCATTTGAGAAATTGTTAAATAATAATCATTGTGAGGGTTTAATAACTCAAGTGTATAAATTTAAAACAGCCAATATTAATTTTATGCCTTTATAAAAGGCAAAGAGTTGAAGAAAAATACTTTGGAGGAACAGTGGATTTGTGGTACAATATCTGTACCGCAAAGTATTTTATGTGTGAGCTTGAAATAAAGTTGAAATAAATGTGTGTCATCTGCCCTCTCCTCTTTCAGCTCAAGATAGTGCAGTTCTAGAGATCAGTCTTGGAGGACATCAAGGAATGCTATGGACATGAGCTTCTACAGGAATTTATGGTTGCTTTGTTTGGATATGTTACGCAGGTGGTGATTCCAAAGGATACTGAAATTGTGATCTGGATGTCAACTTAATATGAGTGCTCATGTGTAGAAAGAGAGAAAAGTTTGATCCCTCTTCAGTGGAGAAGTGGTATTTGATGATTTTAGAGACCAGAGCTCCAAAGTACATATATTGGAACTGAAAATATGTAGTTTGGCTTTCCTGCCATGTTGAGCTACTCAACATTTATAGTATTTGGAATAAAACTTTTAAGGATCTGACAGGACAGATGAGAATGTGCTGTGTTATGTTAACCCCACATTCATTATTTGGTTCATGAAATGTAACAAACACTTCTGTCAGAAATGAAAATGCAAAAAAAAAACAAAAAACCCTCCATTGAATGTCACTAACACTGAGCAAACACCTCTGGTGTGATATGATCAACTGTTCTTTTGTTCGCTGTGTTAAACCATAAGTTTATGAAAAATTCAGTTGCTTGACTGGTAGCGCATAAAAACAACTTCGCAGCCTCACTATCGTCCATCACCATAGAGGCCTGTGATTCATGATGGAAAAAAATGTACTCTCATGATATTTGTTGTGTCTTGCTCTCTGTCAAAAAGCAATTTTCACACATTCCTTGTCTGATCCATTTGATGTACCCACAAATGAAAACAAGTGTCAATGAACACAATTGTTGTTCAGCTGAGCTCAAGCTTCATACATTCATGGCTCTTATAGAACTGACCTCATTAAAGGGCCTCAGACCTGTGGCATGATGATGTTTATAGGAGCAAGAGATAGATGTGCACCAATAGCACAATGCACTAAATCAGAGAGATCATGGTGAATAATACCTCTGTAGCTGGAAGCATGAATTGACAGAGAGAAGGACCGTCCATTTACAGTTTGCTGCTTCTTTTGAAAAAAAAAACAATTATAGGCCATTTATAAAAGAGGTCTTCCTTGCTCACTGGAATGGCAGAAGGATTATTTCCTGGCTCTGAAATATTATATTGCACTGTGCATATGATTAGAATAAACTCTAGTTGGGCAAATTTTGATCTCATTGACTTTTTCCAGGAAATTTCCAAATCTCTTTTAATATCACAAGCAAAAGCAAATGCATATTTTCTGAACTTACAATATTATCCCTCCACACTCATAACTGTTTGTTATATACCTGAGACATCAGACACACAAAGCCATACTGTCTCCCTGTTGGACCAAGTACAGACCAAAAGCAAGCTAATTTGTCAAACATAGATTGAGGGAAGCTTCTGAGAGAAATCTTCCCCATTTTAAGTATGTACAGATTCTCAATGCAGAATGAACACCTCAACTGGTAAGGCCTCAGAAGTTCAAAGGACTCAAACTACTAACTTCAAATTTCTGGTTTTAATTTGAAGTCATAAAGCATCTACAGTGCTTAAAATGCCAACTGCAACAAAAATAGCAGGAATAGTGACACGAACCAGGATCTCCAGGCAAATGTATTTTGCAATGTGAGCCAGAAGATAACAAGTCCTGCTCCTCCCTTCCTAGTCCATCTAGAGAGGTGGACTGGACCCTCAGATGAACCTTGTTTTAACACTGTCATGAGAACAATATCCTGACCACACCTGTGTTCAACAGGCTAGGTAAAAGAGGCCATTGCACACATTGTTCGGCCCATTCATCCACTGCTCTGCCTCAGAAGAACAGGAACACAATGAGGGATGTTCATGAGAGAGTCAGAGAGGGAGCAAGCACTACCTATCACAGCTGCTTCATGGGAGTCCTTCCAGAAAGGCATCATCTCCAACAGGCTTACCTTCTGGACAGAAGGGCTCTACTCTATCAGATTTGCTTTCTTTCAGATTTAAATTAATCACCTCTCAAGTTCTTTCTACCCTGAAAATAAAGACATTTGTGATTTCTAGTAGATTTTAATTAAAGTACCCAAAGGAAATTCTCACACATGCTGATCCCCACCAACAATGGCTGCTACAAGCTTCTGACATTGTTTCTTCTCATTACCTTTGCCAATCCACTTCCCAGCAGGTGGGCTATGATGTAGGTGAGTGAGTGAATAGGTGGAATAACTCTCTCCCCCACTTTTCTGTCCTCTTCCACCCTGTATGCATTTCATTGTCCCTCTGAGACAAAGAGGCAAGCATTGAGTATTTAGCAAAGATGAGGGGTAGTGACCAAAGGTCTCTTATAGTATGTCCCATGTGCAACTACAGGTTTCAGAGGATGCTCGGCCAAGTCATTTCCAAATAAGAAGAAAATTAAGGCTAGGATAATGAATGAAGACCATTAATGTTCTAGTCCTGAATTATGTGTTAAAATGAAGGTGAGTTCTGGGGATGTAGCTAGAACAATTCGTTGAAGAGATTAGCTCTCTGATAAAACTCAATAGAAAGGATTCTAAGTTAATGTTTTAGAATTATTCATTACTGTGTAGCACAATTACTATCAATTGGTATGAATTTATATGGAATA